TCAATCCCTTATTTGCATATGTGGACCTGAGTGAAGACTACGTACAGTAACCCCCTGCTGGCCCAGGGTGAGAACTTCAGTACATAACACCTATGGTCAACTCCCCTATGAAGAAAGGTTGTAGGTTTTTGGACCGTTTCATTTAGAGAAAAGGCAAGAGGTGACAAGACAAAGGATTATAAAATTAGGCATGGCATGGAGAAAGTGGATTGAGAATTTTTTCCACTCCCTCTCTTCTAACACTAGAACTCACGGATATCCCATGAAGCTGAATGTTGGAAGATTCGTGACATATAAGAGAAAGTCCTTCACGCAGCACAGAGTTAAATGATAGAAGTCCCTCCCAAAGGAGACAGGGATAGGCACCAACTTGGATGGCTTTAAAATAGGTTTAGGGAATTAATGGAGGAGAAAGCTCTCAGTGGCCACTAACCACAATGGCTATGCTCTTCCTCCACGGCGATAGTGATGCTTCTGAATTTGCTGGAAACACAGGAGGAGAGAGGGCTCTTGTGCTTGGGTCTTGCTTGAAGGTTTCCCACAGTCATCTGGTTGGCCAATGTGAGAATAGGATGCTGAATTAGATGGACACTGGCCTGATCCAGGAGGTGGTTCTTCTGTTCTTACACCCACTGCTTGTCTTGTCTTCAGGGTAAATGACTTAAGAGGAATATTCATAGGAAACTGCCTTTGTTGGACATTGACCCATCTACCTCAGCATCATCTACACTGACCAGCAGCAGCTCTCCAGGGTTTCAGAGATGTCATCCAGTATTATCTATGAGGATGAGGATGTTGATGCATGCAAAGCAGATTGTCTAATCTTGTGCTATGGACACCCCCTAGACTTGGGAATCTTCTACTGCATTTAAAGGGACTTTGGGATTGTCTCCCTTTGGAAATGTGGCTGTTCTGATATAACAACATGAACTCCAAAAGAGAAGTTTCAGCAAACCTGCAGGTGGAACAGCAGGTGCTTCAAAGTTCTGAAGAAACACCAGGAGGGGCAAGATTGGCCCAGGGTCAATGTGGGTGGGGTTCCCATGGTAACAATGACTTGCCCTCCTTTATGACATCTCTTGCATCTCCCTTAAAAGCCACCAGCTATAGGTGTCCATTGTGGGTTAGTGAGGAGAGATCAGGAGAGATAGAGGTGTGGATGCGGTTGGCAGAAGGAGATTTAGGAGAGGCTGTGGATTTGGATTTTCTCATTTTGACTTTTATTTGATTGATTTGATTTTTTAAATCTGATTTTAATTGTTTTAATTTTTAGTTTAATTTTAATTGTTTCTATTTTTTATTTTAATATTTTTTTAACTTTTGTTCTTTATTTTAATACTTTATTTTAATTTTATACACACACACACACTTTTGTTCTTTATTTTAATTTTTTAATTTTTATTTTAATATTTTTATTTTCCATTTTTATTTTAGTGCACACCTGTGCATATTATATTCATTTTGTATATAGAGGGATAGGTAGAGTTAGGCATAGGATTAGGGCTGGGCTTAGGGTTTAGGTTTAGGGCTGCGGTGGGGTGAGGGTTGGAGTTAGGCTTGGGTGGGCATCTTAGCTAGTTGGGTAGTGTAGACAGGAGGGAGGGACTTTTTCTGGACACCATGTTCAGACTGTAAGTAGGATTTCTTCCCCTTCTCTTTGTCTCCTGGGGTGGGGCCCTCCACAGCCTCAGCCCCCTGAAATCGTCTTGGCCAGTAGCTCCCGTCCCGAAGAGCTCAGCTCCTCCACATTCTTTCCCATTTCCTCTCTTCTCCCATCTCATCAATTACATTCATTACTTACAGTCATAGGCCAGCTATCCTCCAAGGAGCTCAAGATGGCATACATGGTTCTCCCCACCACCAGTTTTTACCCTCACATCAATCCTGCAAAGTAGGCTAGGCTGAGGGAAAGAAGACTGGCCGAAGGTCAATCAGTGAGCTTCATGGGGATTTGAACCCTGGCCTTCCAGGTCCTCCTAGTCCAGCACTCTAACCGCTACATGTCTCCCCGCCTCCATCTTCCATCTCTCCAACGATCAAGCCTAATAAGCATTCTCCCCCCTTTCTGTGGGTCCCTCTGTCTCTAAGCAAGACTCTACCACCTTCTTCTCTCAGCTGCCCAACACTCTTCTGCTCATCTTCTTGAACCCATCTAGCGGACTCCTCCCTCTCTGGGCAGGGCTGTCCTCAAAAAACTAGGCAGAGGCACCCTTTAAATGCTGACAATGCTTCTCTTTCCTTTGGGGTGGAGTGTTGCAATCCCTCACGGGATATAGCATAGCAGGAAAAGGAGAGCAAAGGCCTGTTTAGTCCAGTGGCCAACCAGATGTCTCCAGGAAGCCCACAAGGAATAGGTTGTCCTCTAAAAGGTGGCTTCAGTGGTACACTGCCTCCAAACCTGGAAGTTCTACATACTGTAGCTATTTCAAATCATAACCGTAAATACTCTCCTCTTCCTCCATGAATAGGTGTGACCCGCTCTTTCCAGCCTTGCAAGCCAGTTGTCCTTTGCACATCTTTCAGCTGCCAATTTCACAAACCAATTAAGTATTATGTGAAGAAGTGCCCATCAATGTTCATGAATGACCCAAAGCTCTGCTATTCGATGGGGCAAAAACCTCCCCCGTCTCCCTATTTATTTTATTTGTTTGTTTTGTAAAATTTATATACCACTTTATTGTATATATGAAAAAATGAAAAACCTCTAAGCAGTTTACAAGAAGGTAAAACAATGTAGGTGTGATATGTCAACAAGGCCTTGCTCCTGTCAGCAATCACATTGCAGCATCCTGCACTAACTGCAGCTTTCATTCAATGGCAGAAAGATGGAAGGAATTGGTAGAGATGTGCCGGCAGTTCTCTTTTTTAATAATAATAATAATAATAATAATAATAATAATAATAATAATAATAATAATTTTTATTGATTTTTGCACAAATTTTCCAATGTAACAACTCCAAAACCACATAACAAATCTTTGGCTATCACAGGCTAAGACTTCCTTCAACCCCTTCTAATGCTTTTCTAAATTTCTTTCTAATTTTGCATTTTATTACCATGCTTATTGCTGTAAATCCAATCTTACATCAGTTAATCTTACTCCTTTTCACACTAATTTATATAAGGTAAAGGTAAAGGGACCCCTGACCATTAGGTCCAGTCGTGGCCGACTCTGGGGTTGCGGCGCTCATCTCGCTTTATTGGCCGAGGGAGCCGGCGTACAGCTTCCGGGTCATGTGGCCAGCATGACTAAGCCGCTTCTGGCGAACCAGAGCAGCGCACGGAAACACCGTTTACCTTCCCGCTGGAGTGGTACCTATTTATCTACTTGCACTTTTGACGTGCTTTCGAACTGCTAGGTTGGCAGGAGCAGGGACCGAGCAACGGGAGCTCACCCCGTCGTGGGGATTCGAACCGCCGACCTTCTGATCGGCAAGTCCTAGGCTCTGTGGTTTAATCCACAGCGCCACCCACATCCCTTACTAATTTATATAGTCCTCCTTATAAAACTTATTGTAATCCTACAAGCAGTGTTAGGTAATTACAGTTATCTTCCAAATACAATTCCTGCCAACCTAGCAGTTCGAAAGCACGTCAAAGTGCAAGTAGATAAATAGGAACCGCTCCGGCGGGAAGGTAAACGGCGTTTCCGTGCACTGCTTTGGTTCGCCAGAAGCGGCTTAGTCATGCTGGCCACATGACCTGGAAGCTGTACGCCAGCTCCCTCGGCCAATAAAGCGAGAGGAGCGCCATAACCACAGAGTCTGCCACGACTGGACCTAATGGTCAAGGGTCCCTTTACCTTTTACTTCAAATACAACATAAATTTCTTCCAGTCCTTTAGGAAAGTCTGGTCATGCTGGTTTCGAATTTTTCCTGTTAGTCGTGCCAGCAATTCTCTGTTAGGCTAAACGTATTTCTGTCCTGCATCATCTCTTCTAGGCTCAGGCAACTGATAAATTTTATGAACATCAAGAGGAGCAACAAAGGGGCCCCACTCCAGCGCCAGGTGAGCAAGTGCCCTGCGGCCATCGCCGCCATTTTTGGGAAGGGAAGGGCAGGAATAGGCTAGGGTGGCAGCTCAGGGTATAGAATTTGGGGGGAGGGGAAGCTAGTAAAAAACAAAAGAAAAGAGCTAGACTGCTGGATCCGACCCAAGGCTTATCTGGTCCAGCATCTGGAAACCCACTCCAGTGGCCAGCCAGTTTTGTGGGGTCTGATGAAGATGCTATTGACTGAGAAAAGAGAAAAGGCATTTCTGGAGGAAGCAGGTGGCAGAGGCAGCTGATAGGATAGGGCTGGGCAACAGTTGTCAGTTAGAGGGCCACATTCTCTTGTGAGCCACATTCTGGGGGCTGCAGGCCAAGACTGGTCTCCAAGGCCCGGGGTTTGGCACCCCTGTAGTAGGAGTGTAGAAGCAGGGAAATCAAGGAGAAGATTTTTGGAATAATCTTGGAAGCTGCTAAGGGATGAAGTAACTTGTCCCCATGTCCTTCTCTTGTTGCAGTTGTGCCACAGCTCTTCAAGGCTTTTCCAGAGCCTGAGATTAGTACTGGGGAAAACAAAAGAGTAGGGACTGGATCCCTCAGACCCTCTGCCCACTGACTGTGGTCTTTGCCCCCAATTCTGCAGTCTCTGAAGCGGAGAAGCCCTCACCTCACAATAAACTGACAGCCTGACTTTTGCCATTTCAGCCACTGGATTTTGAAAAGCTGTTTCTTTTAACGGATGAGGGTTGTGGTGGTAGGACAGAGCTCTGGGATAAGCTCAGTGTGGGGAACAGCGGTGGGACGTTATGCAGCCGCCAATGATAAGAAGCTGAGGGAACTGGCTGCCAGCAGCGTATCTTTGCTGCTGGCTTATGCCAAAAGGTTTCCTGAACTCAAAGTAAGCAGCTCACTTTCGTATACTCATTTCTTTGAATACTTCCACCCCACACCCTCCAAGAGGCTCCCAAAGCAACTAATGTGTGTCCCTGGGGTGTCAGGATGATACAAGAGGCATGTCCGGCCCTCTTCCCTGGTGCTGCCCTTCCACCTCTGCCCAGGAGGCTGCAGGGCCCATGGAGGTCCTCGGGGGCCAGGGATTGGGCCCAAGCCTGAGGGAGGCCAGTCTTTCCTGGCTTGGGCCTGCTTGTGGGCTCCCTTGCACCTGTTAATGGTGGGTTTTGTAGTGTCACAAAAGGCGTCACATCCAGCTTTCTCTTTCCTCTGCAGAAGGCAATAGTCCAATGACAGCTGTCACGCATGTGGTCAACACCCGAAGAAGGTAACCGAGTCTCCACACCTTGGGGATGCAGAGTGCGTCCACGGAGCTGACGTTTCACTTATTAGCTTCATTGTTCGTGCCGAGAAAGATATCCCAGGCCTTCTTGCTGTGTTTGCTCTGCCTTGCAGGCCTTTTCCACTTGGCCTGAAAAGGCAGGGCCCTGACTGACGCCAGCTGAGGTGATTGAACCCTTGGGTTTGGGTATTGTTTAGCGGGCTTTGTTGAGAGGGGCTGCTAATTCAAATCTCTCTTTTTCATTCTCTTCCAGATGACATAATTATTGAAGATCTGTAGGGGTTCCGGTTCCGGTCTCTGCCATGGTAACATCTCTCCCATTGTGGGACCAGACTCAGATGGAGGGGAGAGGGTTACCTGAGGCTGTAAAACCCTCCGAAAACCCCTGAAGGCAGTCGGAGGACAAGGGCACCTGTGGATGTCTTTGTGCCTGCTCCTGCTGCTGAAGAAGCAAGAGGGTTAAGATACTGTGTCTCAAGCCCTCCGCCGCTGAGGCAGTCTCCAAGTCCGCCATTGCAAGACACAGAGCTCCTTCACAATTTGGAATATTGGATCAAAATTAAAGGTGCCTCCAGACATGTGGACAGTGAGGTGTAATCTGAATGAGACTATTGAGATTGAGGGATGAAATTAGAGGGTCCTGCCTTGATTAAAAATGGAGAGAAGAGAGGAGAACTTTTTATTATTAAATACATTATTATTATTATTTAAAGTCAGTGAGGCCCCATATGATGGGAATCTGGTGCTGCTGCTGAATGTTATCGTAAGTGTCCTGATGGCCTCAGGGGTTAAGGACTTCAGGAAACTCCATTGGCGGCGGGGGGGGGGCAGTGCTTGGCATCTTTGGCTCAAACTGCCCCCCTGACTCTGAGGTGCTCTTTCCTCCCGCAGGACCTCAGATGTTACGCAGCTGCCAATGATAAGAAGCTGAGGGAACTGGCGGCCAGCAACGTATCTTCGCTGCTGGCCTATGCCAAAAGGTTCCCCAACCTCAAAGTAAGTAGCTCACTTTCATTTACTTGTTTCTTTGAATACTTCCACTGATGCATATAGAAACCTCCAGGCCGTCCTTATCTTGTGCTAGGAGAGCAGCTTTACTCCCAAGGTTGAAAACACATTCCTAAGTGTCTGCATTTGAGAAGGAGATGTGCTCTGCTCCGATGTCCTAACCCTCTCAGGTAGAAAGGAATGCAAAGAGATCACTTGCCGTGGGGGGTTGCTTAGAAAGAGTCCTTTTATAATTATAATTATATTTTATTTATTTATTTTTAGAAAGAGTTCTTTGTTTTGAGACTAATGAATAGGTAATGAAGGAAAGACCATGTATGGTCTTTGTATTGTCTTGTAATTTTAGATTGGAGGAAGTTTATGCATATGTATTGCTTTAACAGATAACAGCTATGTATATTAAGGAGGCCCCACCCTTTTGGGGCTTGCTCAGCTTTTGGAGAGTAACCCACTGAGCCTTTATCACTAGCAATAAACACCCTTTGCTTTCTCACCGCTGCGTGGAGATTTCCTTCAGCCTCAAAGTTGATTTTTGCAACACCACCTCCACCCTCCAGGAGGCTCCCAAAGCAACTGATGCAAATAATGTGGCGTGTGTCCCTGGGGTGTCAGGATGATGCCAGAGGCATGTAGTGCTGCCCTTCCACCTCTGCCCAGGAGGCTGCAGGGCCCATGGAGGTCCTGTGGGGCAAGGGATTGGGCCCAAGCCTGAGGGAGGCCAGTCTTTCCTGGCTAGGGCAGGGGTCTGCAACCCACGGCTCCGGAGCCGCATGTGGCTCTTTTACACCTTTGCTGCAGCTCCGGGGCGGATACTAGCGAGGGGAGGAGGCGCATTGTGCACCCCGACACTCCCCACTGTGGCAGGCACTGTACTGGCTGTGACATTGCATGGGGGCGGTGCGTGCATTAGTCACGCACCGTCCCGACGTCACCTTCCCGCTCGCTGTCAGATCGCGGCTCCGGAGATATATTTGTTTTAAATGTCGCAATGGTTTTGTGGCTCCCAGTTTTTTTTTTCCTTCGAAAATGGGTCCAAGTGGCTCTTTTTGTCTTAAAGGTTGCAGACCCCTGGGCTAGGGCCTGCTTGTGGGCTCCCTTGCACCTGTTAATGGTGGGTTTTGTAGTGTCACAAAAGACATCTGATCCAGCTTTCTCTTTCCTCTGCAGAAGGCAATAGTCCAACGACAGCTGTCATGTATGTGGCCAGCACCCGAAGAAGGTAACCGAGTCTCCACATCTTGGGGATGCAGAGTGTGTCCACAGAGCTGACGTTTCACTTATTAGCTTTATTGTTTGACATCCCAGGCCTTCTTGCAGTGTTTGCTGTGCCTTGCAGGCCTTTTCCACTTGGCCTGAGAAGGCAGGGCCCTGACTCCAGCTACAAAAATGGCGTCTCTCCCATTCTGGGACCAGACTCAGACGGAGGGGAGGGGGGTTACCTGAGGCTGTTAAAACCCTCCGAAAACCCCTGAACACAGTTGGGCGACAAGGGCACCTGTGAATGTCTTTGTGCCTGTTCCTGCTGAAGAAGAAGCAAGGGGGTTATGATGCTGTGTCTCAAGCCCTCCGCCGCTGAGGCAGTCTCCAAGTCCATCATTGCAAGACGCAGAGCTCCTTCTTAATTTGGAATATTGGATCAAAATTAAAGGTGCCTCCAGATATTTGGACAGTGAGGTGTAATCTGAATGAGACTATTGAGATTGAGGGATGAAATTAGAGGGTCCTGCCTTGATTAAAAATGGAGAGAATTATTAATTTTATTATTATTATTTAAAGTCTGCAAGGACTTAACACCTACCCCATCTGGATTAAAGAAATGAAAGTATCACAAGTGAGGTCTGTTAAAGGACAGGTGGAAGTTTGTGAAATGCTTGAAATTCCTTTTCTAAAATGGATTACAGACTAAGAGAGGACCGGACATAAATTTCCAACTTAGTGAACTGTGCTGATATCAGACTATCATCTAAGTGATGAGAGGGGAACCATTGTCTGGAAAATAAAGAAAATTGTACAGGAAGATTTTTGGATAAATGGATCTGGCATTAAGGTTAGCCATCAGGAAAACAAAATGACTATAGAAGAGCAAAAAACTGATGGAGAAAACTGGATTTAAAAGTGAAAAAGAATAAGTATTTAAGTTTTGCTGTATGAACTGTATGTTATTTCAAAATAATTTTGTTAAGACATGAATGGAAATCCAAAAGGATATGTTAAGATGGGAAAACTAAAACTGTCTTTGCTGGGTAGAATTTCTGTGATAAAGATTATACTTTCTTCCTCCCGGTTATTAAGGAAATTCAGGCAACTGTTCCCAGAGTGGTTTAATTATCAATTAGAGTATAGGGTTCGCCTAACAACTCTTGGCACCCTTAACAAACTACAGGTCCCAGAATTATTTGCATGGAGCGGTGACTGTTGAAAGTGGTGGAGCTTTAAATACAGGGTGTGAATGAGGCCTCAGAATCTGTACGCTCTAGTAACTGCCAAACCAATTTCAGTGTTTTAAAAAGCCCCCGTTCCCCTTTATCTGCACCTTTTCTTCTTGGTGCTTCCCAAATAGCCGTTATTAAGCGGATACAAGTCTCATGCTTCTCCAGTCTGTTACAGGTTTATGATTTTGTCTCAGCCTCCTCTGTGGGACTGCTTCTTGCCAGCCCAGGGGACTCTGATCAATGGCAGTCAGGTGTCTTTTATGCATGGTGAACGGCAGGGAAGGCTGCTCTAGAGTTGAGCATCTTCCCACCCGCCCTGCCCTGCATCACTGACACCAACCAGGAAGAAATGGAGAAAAAGCGAGATTGTCCTTCGGTGACTTCTCTCCTGCTGAGTTAGGCCTGATGGCATGAGGAGGGCATGGCAAACATCTGAGAGGCTGGCACACAGAAAACGGAGGCTTCTGAGGCTAGTGTCAGGGCTGGGCATCTGCCGAAGTGTGGGTCTCCGTAGGCCGACTCATGCAGCATCTACTTCTCACCTTTGCTGTTCCTGCCTGTCCAGGAACACATTAAGAGCCTGCCTGCTGAATCAGGCCAATCCCCCATCTCCAGTCCAGCATCCTGCTCTCTCAGTGTTAACTGGATAGGTCTACCCTGGTAAGGAGGAGACTGAGGGGAGGTATAATAACCATCTTCAAATATAAGGGCCATCACAAGGAAGATGGAGCAAGCTTGTTTTCTCCTGTTCCGGAGGGTAGTACCTGAACCAATGGCTTCAAGTTACAGAGAGATTCCAACTAACCATCAGGAAGAGCTTTCTGACAGCAGAACAGAGCCAGTGTAGTGTAGTGGTTAAGAGCGGTAATCTTGTAATCTGGGGAACCAGGTTCGTGTCTCCGCTCCTCCACATGCAGCTGCTGGGTGACCTTGGGCTAGTCACACTTCTTTGAAGTCTCTCAGCCCCACTCACCTCACAGAGTGTTTGTTGTGGGGGAGGAAGGGAAAGGAGAATGTTAGCCGCTTTGAGACTCCTTAAAGGGAGTGAAAGGCGGGATATCAAATCCAAACTCCTCTTCTTCCTTCCTTGGAGGTTTTTAAGCACAGGTTGGATGGCCATCTCACATGTATGATCTAGTTGAGATTCCTGCATTGGAAGAGGTTGGACTAGAAGACCCTTGGGGTCCCCTTCCAACTCTACAATTCTATAAACCTTAGAATGCATCATAAATTGGTATCGTAGTGGCTTTATGATGTGAAGAAGGTCTTAGTATCTCACTGCCGAATTTCAACCACCATATAAACAAGCAGAGAAAGAATCTGCATTCCAGGGACAGCATGACACCTACAGGCAGAACCAACAGATTCAGGGTGCTGGAGGGAGTATTTACAGAATATTCCCCTCCAAGCTGCCGGTGGTCATAACTTTACAGACCCTGCCCTCCAGTAAAACTTCTTGAATATACATGAGCCCAGAAGGGAAAGTGTTTTGCTATCTTGTCAGACATGTTCCATGTGTTAAGTATTCAAACATCCAGCCTTTCTACCTATAGTCTGTACAACACACTGCCAGACCCTCCAAGTGTCCCTATTTTCCAGGGATGTCCCTGATTTTGAGAAGACATCCCAGTTTCTGATTTGTTCCCGGAATGTCCCACTTTTCCTTAGAATGTCCCCATTTTCATTGGAGAAATGTTGTATGGAGTTATCTGACCCCCCAAGCCTTCTGAAGACAATTCTGTTTAAGGAGGTTTTTTAAATGTTTAATGTTTTATTATGTTTTTATATATGTTGGAATCTGCCCAGAGTGGCTGGGGCAACCTAGTAAGGTATGTGAGGTATAAATAGTAAGATTATCATTATTGAATGTGACGTCTCTATTTTCATTAGAGAAATGTTGGAGGCTATGCACTGCTCTATCAGGCATGGGGAACCTGATTCCCATCAAGAGGAGTATGGGCAGAAACATCAGATGGGCCATATGTCTCCACCACAGGGCTGAAAGCATAACAATCTGCTTACACAAAAACAAAGCTATCTTAGGACTCCCCACCAACCACCTCAACATCTGCCCAAAGAGGTATGTGGGGATAACCCTACTACGACCCCAAAACTTCCTTGTGGAAAAGCTCTCGAGTCTCAAAGCACTGATCTTGGAGTGCCTCTTTTAGGGAACAGGCCCAGATAGACACACACAAACACATGCATGTGAACACGCACACACACACACACTCAGATCACCACACACTGGTTACACCCAGGGAACACATTGGGGAAAAATAAACAGGTTGTTTTTTAATTGTGGAACGGAATTCCAATCAACAGATTTATAGGGCAGGGCTAACATCAAGGCCTGGAAGCAGAACTCAACGCTTTGCTCCGGAAGCCTTTAAAGTGACATGATGCACCTTAAAATAAATTAAGGGGGCCGCAGTTCTCTTCTTTTGTCATCAACAGTTCTTCACTTCATGCTCTTGGCAAACTCTTCCCCTTTCTTGATGGAAGCTTTCAGCTCCGAAACTGCCTCTGCCACCATCTTCTCTTCAAAAGGAGAAATCTTGCCAATGCCTAGGTTCTTCTCAATGCCGTTTTTCTAAAAGGGAAGGAAGGGGAAAGTGAGGGGTGGGGAGATTAGCACAACCAAGAAGACGCTAGAGACACAAATGTTGCTTTAGCTGGAAAAGTCTCTGTTTAAAAGGCCACATTCACACCACATGTTTAAAACACTATGATGACAACTCCCATCAGCCCTAGCAAGAAAACACATGGAGGTTGGAGAAGGCTTCCCTAAACTACCTAGAACCGGGTAATGCTGAAGACCTCCTTTGCAAAATCTGCCTGGTGTAAAACCCTTGCCTTGAACTCTGCTCTCTCTGTCCAAGCAAGGTTACCCAGCCTGGCCCCAGAGGGATTTCAATGCCCGTTCACAACCCACCACTTCCTTCTGGCATTATCAAAGTTATATCCCTCCTCTACCCTTTTTCCTTCGACTCCCCCTTCCCCAGTTTGGGTATCTTGTCATTTTAGGTTTATGAGCCTGAGACCAAGGCTTCTCCAACGCAATGCCAGTGACAGGCATATGCCTGAAAAAATGGGATAAAAAGATGAGGCAGAATTCGAGAATCAAGTGGTCGGAAGGTGGTCTACACATATATGCAAACAAACACAAGTGTCACCACAGCTCCATACCCCAAACAGCAGTGGTGTGGAGAAATATGGGCACTCAGTTTCCTCTGACCGGACGAAAGAGCACTCGATGACCCCCTCCTTCCCATTCATTGCATCCAGGACGGAGAAAACAAACCGGGCACCAGCATAAGCCATAGAGAGCGTTGCTGATCCTGTAGGGGGGAAATGAGAAAAGATTCAACAGCGTGGAAACGGACAAGGGGTCTGCCTTCCTAACATGCCAGCACAATTCTGAAGCCATCATCCGGAGTGATGTGGGAAATGTTCCAGTGGTGAATTCTGCTCCCCACAGGCCAGCTGTTTCCCCAAAAGGAATATAGCAAAAGCTTCCCAGTACACAGCATGCCTCAAAAGATGTATGCTGGTGCAGCCTACTAGCTAACAACATGACCTAATAACCAAGGGGTCCTGCATTTGAATCTCACTTTTGCCATGGACCAGCTATTCTCTCTCAGCCTCAGCTGCCCATCTGTAATAGCTGACATGGTGCCCTCTAGATACCATTTTTTTACTCCTAATGCCTACCATCCCCAACCACTGACCACATTGGGTGGGGTTGATGGGAGTTGGGAGTCCAACAACATCTGGATGGAACCACATTGGGTACCCCGATCTGCAATACAAGGACAGTAATACTCCTCCCCCACTTAACAGGGTTGCTTTAAGACAAGAGAGAAAAACGTGTGGCCCTCCTCTAGATGTGGTTGGACTCCCAACTCCCAGCAGCCAGTATGGTCAATAGCCAGGGATTATTTGGGGGGGGTGGGTTAAAAGTCTGATAACACCTGGAGGACCACAGGTTACCCACCCCTGCTTTAAAGATTGCAAAATAATGAATTCATCTGCAGCAATGGGAGATGAACTCATCAGCTGAACTACATACCAGCCACTATATGGCTCCTCCTCCTCCTGAACCATTTTTTCCCATTTCAGTTGGCCCTTATAGAAACTTTGTTCCTTTTACACCTTACTCCTTTTCCTTTTCCCTCCTTTTCCCTTTCATGCCATGTCTTAAAATCTGGATTGTCACCTTCATGGCAATAACCATCTCATACAGCCCTTTATGAAGTGTCTAAAGTTTCATTGAATGGGAACAAGGGTCACTGGGACACTGCACCACTTTGTCTCTCAGGAAGAATATGAAGGCGGCTGGGGGGGCGGACCAGCCTAAACTCTATCCACTGGTCAGAGAAAGAAACTGTAGGGACCTTGCTTCCACTGGCCCTGCCACAAAGAACACTCCAAGCTGCCAGCTATTCTGGGACTGCAGAGCTGAAGAGAAGCTCAATACTCTCGCCTCAGCTGGAGCATTTTCACCTGCTTCCTTTGTGGTTGCTGGGCTGGGAGAGGGATCAGTCCAGCTGGACAAGAACAAGCTGCACTGCTGGCTGGCAAAACACCAGGTGAGGAAGGGGCACAAGGGGGAAGTCTGCGGCTGATAACTCACTAAGCCCCACTGGTAGCACTGCCCCACTTAAGGATACTACATGGGAATCCAGAGGGGGAACGTTCCTGTGAGTCAACCTA